GGGTATGCAATCACAAACTCTCTACTACGAAATATCCTTCTCAGTGTTTTCTCCTTCCTCTCTCTCATTCAAAGACTGACTAGACCGTCGGAGGGGATACGCCGGAAAACACTCCGGCGCCCTTCTAACTTGTTCTCTTTTGTCCCAGGAAATACCTTTCCCACGTACAGGATCGTTCCTCCTTTCCCAGGATCGTAAGCTGTTTCGAGCAGTGTGTTTGGCCACTCAATCGACTCACCCAAAGTTCACCAGGGGAGAGATCTGTTCCCAATATTTTATATATATCGTGCAGGATCAAGCCCGCACACTTTGCTACGATTATCAAGCAATAATTGAAAGCCGAAGTAAAATCATACGTAAACATCTAAAAACCTCAATTTCAGATTAATCAACTTGCATTGAAAGAAAAAATTGAGATATTTTGGGCTAAGCATTGCCAGTTGGTAATAGCCAAAGGCAAAAAAGGGAGAGATAGGGAAGAGGAGATTAAGGATGATCACTCTACTTCATAGATAGAGGAAATAGAATCTTCTTTCATTTTCAATTCCATTAGGATCGGAAAGGGGGACTTTTGGTATGAAAAACTATGATGCCGATAATATTCGTCAAATTAGGAAGGGTATCAATTCCAAAAGATTATGAGATAAGACAGACTTTGCTACTGCATCAACATAACCCTTCCTACGCTCAAAACAATTAGGTTCCAACAGATTATTTTTTGTAGACTAAATTTTTGGGTCTAGCACGTGAATTTTTTTTTTAATAATTAAGGTCACAGCGAGATTCAAACATAAGACTTCTCACTCTAATATCAAATTAAACAATCATTTATTTCAAAAATTTAAAGCTTTGGATAGTATATAACTTAAATATTTATACTTCAATATAAATGACCAACAAATAAATGAAATATATTTCTTACAATATCGTACTTGTAAATTAACTTACATATACACCACCTTTCTTTCATGCAACAAAAATATTTATAGGATCACACCTGTCATAGTTCATTTGATCCTTGCATTGATTTCGATGAAGGTGCGGCATATCTAGAGGAAAACCCACGATAAGAGGAGTCCTCGTTACCATCATCCCAGCAACTCTCGTCGAAGTTTTGAGCATAGCTTAAGGCGTCATACCTGAAACCACCAACTTGTCTTGTTCCTTTGGATTTGCGAGTAACATTTCTGTAACTAACCCTCACATTTCTTTGCCTTGTCTGACTTCTTTTTCTTCTTTTCCATGGAAGCATTAGTTTGAGACGTCCCCAGCACGAAAACAACCCTCCTCCTCCTCCTTCTTCTTCTTCTTCTTCTTCTTTATCATCATCGTCTTCTTTTGCGTTGTCTCTTGCAGAGGAATATTTCTCCATAGCTTCAAGTTTTACAGAAAATTTTCCGAAGTATAACAAAATGTAATAGTATTCTTCATAGAAGCTTTGGGGGGTCTGATCTCTAGCCTCTTCCTTTGTTGTTTTCTGTTAAAACCTCAACGTGTGGTGGTAGGCAAGAAAAACAGATATCGTAAAGGTCCTATGGTCACTGTGCTTTTGTTCGTTACCTTGTGTTTGTGTGTACGAGAGCCAGAGGAAGTATAATGATTCTCAGTGTCACATCCAAATTAGGTTAATTTTTGGGCTACAATACAATGGGAAAGTCTATGTACCCAAATCAAAAAATGGGTAACCTATCGTTGATTACTAATTTTTAAGATAAAATTATAATTTTAAAAAGAGAAGTTATAATTATTTTAAAAGAAGGTTATGATCGATTATGACATCTATAATCGATCATAAACTCGCAGTATCAATTATAATCTTCTATGATCAATTATATCTTTTAAAATTATAATTTACACCTCAAAAAAATTATAATTTAGCCTTAAAAAATTATAATTTTCGATACGATATCAGTACCGTATCAAAAGTGTCTCAACGAAGAATTGTCCTAATATCATTACTCCAATTCTTTTAGATTCAAATCTTTTCAATATTTTTCGAGCACCGCTAAAGAAACCTAATTTATTGATATAATTTATTATAGTCATTGAATTAGTAGTGGATCTCATCAAACATTATAATTTGTCAATGATTACAATGAAGTCGAATTATTATTTTAACAAATTAAATTAAATTTTTACATCCTAATAACATTAATCATTTTTTTTTTGTTCTCATAACTCACTTACATGAGTCTGTCTTAAATTTAGGAGAACTGATTTATCAAGAATAAAAATAAAAAATAATATATTAAACAATATCTCACTTTCATCCTTTTCACCTGATTTTGACATACCAAGGAAGATCTTGTTTACATTACCGTAGGCTGCTCTTGCTGTCCTGCACTCCGTGACTAAAAAATATTCAACGTAACAGTTATAATAATATTATATAAATAATTATTTTTAATAAATAAATAAGTGAATCCCATAAAATTACAATAATCACTCATTCAAGTAATATGTAATTATTTCAATGTAGGATAATGGGATCCATTTTATTTATTTTTTAATTTTTGCATTGAATAATTAAATCCCGTGACAATACTAAAATAGTATAACTGTTATGCCCAATATTTACTCTTACTTGACGCACGAAAAATTAGATTTTTTTCCTCTCTAAGTTTCCCTTTTTCTACTTTTTTAATATGTTTTTCCTCTCTAAGATTAGGGGTGACAATCGAGTTGTGTCGTGTCAGATTCGTGTTGAGTCATTATAAATTTTTCTTGAACATTGCTCACACTTAACTCAACTCATTTAAATAATTATGTCGTGTCGAGTTACGAGTTAACCTATTTATTTTCGTATTCAAGTTAATCAAGTTCGTGTCAAAAAATTCATGTCAAGTTTGAGTCGGGTCATCGTGTTGAGTCAAAAAATTTCACCTCTAGTTAAGATGAAAAAAATATTTTTTTTTTAATTTTTTTTAAATTTTTTAATATATATATATATATATATATATATATATATATATAAATACATATTTTATTATTATATTTTTGTATGAAATCAATTTATACATAATATATATATATATATATAGACAAATAAGATATACCTCAATACAAATAATTAATTTTTCATCCACTTTTCTTCCGATTTTAGAGATATTGATTTGGGTGAGTTGGAAGAAAAGTTAATTCATCCACTTTTCCATCTTTTTTATTTTCCTTCCTTACCAAACATGATGTTTTATTTATCCCTCCAACTTTCTATCATTTCAACTTTTCATCCTTCCATTTTTCCATCATACCAAATGGAGCATAAGTCCGTCAATGGATCGGGTTTGAATCGAATTTTGGCTCATTCGAATTCGAATCCAATTTTAAAAGTCTGATCCGATAATTTGACGAATTTTATTTTCGTAGTCCATATCCGAATTCGATAGCAATTCAAAATCCGATCCTGTCTGAATAACTTAATTAATTAAATTTTAACAAATTATATCTAAGTTTTAACTATATTTCTTTAGATAATCACTTATTTTTAAAAAATATTTATATAAAAATATATAAATAATTCTGCTTGGATCATAATCAAATCGAATATAGGTATATCCAAATCCAAATTCGTAAAATATAAAATATCAAATTCAGATTCGAATTCAAATGATTGATAAAAAATATTAATCTATATATGGCTAATCAAATTCGAAATACAATTCAATCTATTGATAAGCCTACTTGACGTGTCATTATGTCAATAAAATAGGGATAACTGGTCCCTAAAGACACGGTGCAATGTAAATGATTTTGAGAGAGATATTAGTGACCATTAAATGAGTCTATTTAAGACCGTTAAATAAATTTATTAACATCTGTTCTATTTTATATTATAAATTTTATTTTTAAATCAAAATAACATTGCTCAACGTCATAACACAAGTACAATCTTTTTGGTCATTGTAGTAGCATTGGCAAAGAATCCACGAAAGTTTTTGGACCGTTGGGGCGTAGCTTTGAACAATTCCTTAGTTTGACAAAGAATTCGCGATGCAATTACCTTATATTAAATAAGTTTTTCCCCCAAACTTTTATGAATTTTCCNTCCCTTATATTAAATAAGTTTTTCCCCCAAACTTTTATGAATTTTCCTAGAAACCCCCTTGAAATTCTGACGAAAGAATTCACCTCCCAAGCCTAAATCCTAGTTCTGTTCCTACCCTCAAAAGATAAGAACACCCAAGCAAAGAGGAAAGAAATGAAAAGAAATTTTGGGCTTAATTTTTCAACTTACATAGCATTAACCATATGTGGGTCTATGAGATTAAAGACACTAATTTCTTCATTACAGAACAACTGACAATTTCAAGTTGTATTTTCTGTCATGCTGATCTTAGTTTACTTTTTCACAAGACNGAGATTAAAGACACTAATTTCTTCATTACAGAACAACTGACAATTTCAAGTTGTATTTTCTGTCATGCTGATCTTAGTTTACTTTTTCACAAGACCTAATAAGCATGAAAATATGGGAGAGGGGAGGGAAATGAGTATCAAACCCGAACCGACATGCCGGGATTCACCCAGATACCACTAGGCCATCGCGTCCCCTCATATTCATGCCAGTTTATAAGTGTACAGCTCTTTTACTCTAACATGAATATCACTCCTTTACAAATGATCTGTAGAATGAAACATGTGATGGTTAGGTTAAACAATAATAGACACGCTAAAAGGACAAGCAATGAACTACATCAGCACCAATCATCCTGTTACAGAACTCATTACTCTATCATAGTACAAGCAATTATCATCACAAGAGTTGCAACTGGTAGCACAGAAGCAACCTCGAATCAGCATACATAGCGTATAGATAACAAAGAGACGCACAAGAATATATAACCGATCATCGAGAATCATACATGCCAGAGAGAGACCCAAGTATGTATACAAGGTCATAAATTTACAAAAAATGTTTAAAATCCAAACAGAGTGAGAACCCTTAAGTGAACTACATCACAAAATTGTTATGAGAGGAAAATAAGCTTGATAAAGTTGATAAGAAGAGCTTACACTCTTAAAAGTTCATCGATGGTGAATAATCCAAGCAAATGGAACCGAAGAAAGGCACTAGTCATGGGTCATCACAAAGCAAGTGACAGCATGCATTGCAAGCTACATCTTGACCACCACCTTTTCAGCAGAACTTTTCTTCACGGCTCCTCGGGAGCATAACTCATTCAGTAAATCCAAAGCCTCATTGGCTAAACCTTCATAAGATAGGCCTTCAATCAGAATTGTATATGTAGTTTCAGTAGGTTTACATCCCTTTGATACCATATGAGCCAAGAAGTCAATGGCACGATCCGTCTGGCGAGCTTTGCAAAGCCCCAACATGACAGAATTGTAGGTGACGGCATTGGGCCTCACACCCAATCCTTCTAACTGATTGAAGAACTTGATAGCTTCGTCTACCTTTCCTTCTCTACTAAGCCCTCCCACAACCGAAGAGTAGGTAATTATATCGGGTTGGAGACCCTTTCCTCGCATCTCATCCAACAGCTTTAGAGCACATTCTGTTTTTCCCACCTTTGAAAGACCATCAATCACTGTATTGTAAGTGATCAAAACAGGAGAGCAATTTTTATTACTAAGCTGGTTAAGGATCTCAACTGCTACATCAACTTTTCCATCTTTGCATAAAGCTGTGAGCAAAGTATTATAGGTCACAATGTCAGGGTAGCACCCTCTGGAGACCATTATCTCCAAATACTCAATTGCCCTGTCCATCTTCTTTTCTTTGCAAAATCCATGAAGCAGTGGATTGTAACTCAGGGAATTTGGAGTACAACCATGCTTCGGCATTTTCTCCAAAATATCAATGGCTCGGCCCAATAACCCCTTCCGACACAAGAAATTTATCAAGATGTTAAAGGTAACGACACTGGGAGAACAGCCTTTTCGAAGCATCTCCACTAAAAGTTTCTCAGCATCCATCCACCTCCCTGTGCTACACATGCTACGCAAAATGATATTATGGGTAATTACATTAGGTTGGCAACCATAAGACGGCATATTATTCAAGAATTTGATTGCTTCATCCAACCTCCCTTCCTTGCATATCCCATTGATTAGGACATTATAGGTAACTACATCAGGCTTGCAACCCTTTCTATTCATCTCATCCAAAAGCTTCATTGCCTGCCCCACCCCACTTTCCTTACAAGTCGCTTCAATCAAAATTGTATAAGTGATCACATCAGGATAGCACTCTTTTAGCAACTGCTGATCAAGAACTTTCATTGCTTGCTTCAATTTCCCACCATCACACAATGTTCGCAAGATCGTATTATATGTGACAACATCCGGGGCAACACTCATCCGGTCCAATACCTTTAAAGCATTATCTATCTCCCCCGACTTACANCGAGAACTTTCATTGCTTGCTTCAATTTCCCACCATCACACAATGTTCGCAAGATCGTATTATATGTGACAACATCCGGAGCAACACTCATCCGGTCCAATACCTTTAAAGCATTATCTATCTCCCCCGACTTACAATACCCACTAATCAACACATTGTAAGTTATAACATCAGGAACAGCCCCGGATTCCTCAAGAATCTCCATAACCCTAGTTGCCTTCTTAGTCTTACCAATCCGACAAAACCCCCGAATTAAACTAGTACATGGAATGATATCGGGAATGTCACCGCGATAAACCATGTTTTCGAGATACTTAAACCCTTCCTCCAATTCTCCATTTCTAACCAACCGACGGAGATGTTTATTACTCTCAAACTCTTCAAAATTATGCGAGGAATGCACTTCACTCGAGGATAGAAGGCCCCCACTAAACTGCCCTTGAGGGTTTCTCTCATTACTTGACAATCGACCATTAGAGCTAAAATTTTCAATCTTTGAAACAGCTAATACCCGATTTCGCCTCTGTTTCGGAGACCCTCGTTGTTTTTTACACTCAATACCATTACCAACAGAGAGAACAGGGAAGCGAGCTTCGCGACCTACAAAGACCTTCCCGGAACTGAAATTTGAAGAAAACCTAACCCTAGCTCTAGACCTCAAAGTATGATTCTTTTTGCTATCCCTATGAATACAATGAAATGAGCAAAAACCCTCATGTGTATGCTTTGTAGGCACCATTAACTCCATACTAAACCCTACTTGTAATCAACCAAAGATAATACTCAGAAGTTCATATTAGAAACTCTATCCCTGCTAGTTACTACTGATTAAATGAAAAGAATATATGCTGTAGATTATATGTGAGAACTAAAAGAACTGTAGTAGAGAAAGAGATTTGTAATGGGTTTCTCCAACATGTATGTTTGGAAAGAGAGAAAGTAGATAGAAAAGAGAGAGAAAGCTTACTATGATACGCGCACAGTGAGGGCTTTGAGACTAAACAGTAAAGAGGCAAGAGAAAAAGTGTGTGCCGCCCTATCACTTATCCTATTTTCGAGTGTCTAAGTTTCACGCGATCGACGATTGGTGGCATACACAAAAGGCTGGCCTGCTAATTTGGGCCGGGCTTGGTAGTAGAGGTCCAGTAGTGCGAAGGCTGGATGATCCAAATAGCACAAAATTCCCAGGAAAAAAAGTCCACTAATCCAAATTATAGCTATCGAATCGTGTCATTTTGTATTTTTGTTTATTGTCGATCAATCCTGAATTTATGATTTTAATCAAGAGTAAGGTTATGTGTACTAAAACTTATACCATATGGCTATTAAATCTGTAGGTCCCATCACTGATTCAAAGTTATAACCTATCTTTTGCTTAACCAAATGTACCACTTATAGGCCATTTACAACTTATAATTCTCTTGATTCACATTTTTAGTGAAAATCATGTAAAAAAAAAATTAATGCTATTGGGATATAATTTAAATACATAATGTATTATAATCATTAAATTGATAATGTTGAGACTTGTTGATAGTATAGTGGCATAATCATTACGTTATAATAACATTGTTCTATGAAAAAACATCTAATTTTATGAGGGATTCATACAATATCTTAACAAGAAATAGAAAAAAAATTAAAACACAACATTAGACATTTTTTTATACAATATTGGAAAAGGGTTTGTCCTAATTAGTATCAATACTTGCGTCCTAACTCGTTCATATTTGTGTCAATTGATAGTATCATTTTTTGAGTTTTTTTTATCAAAAATTGATCAATACTAACTACNTGCGTCCTAACTCGTTCATATTTGTGTCAATTGATAGTATCATTTTTTGAGTTTTTTTTATCAAAAATTGATCAATACTAACTACTAATTTTTTGTCGTGCCAAAAATTATCATCCCCATCCTCAAAATGGATGTCACCTTGAACATTGTTCATTCACAATGTGCATTGATGTTGGACCTAGCACGAATGTAAATATATTTTTTTCCAAAAAGTATTTATTTATCCTGTATGTAATACATTTTTAAGTTTTGAATTTGGGGGAAACCTTGATTAATCTTTAATTCAAATTAATCTCCTTCTTGGTCCAATTGAAGTCAAGTAATCTACGCCATGAATGAGGTATTCATGACAGATCTATGAAATTGTTAAAATTCGAGTTCAGTACATCTGAATTTACAACTTATCTTATTACTACTTAAACTACCACTTGAGATAACCCATTCCCTTCATTGTGTTTACTATAAGGAATGAAAAGTAAAAATAATTGATTTTTTTTGTATTTGATAACATAAAAAAATAGAACGATAAAAAAACATACAAATACATATTTTACCATTGTATCTATATATAACATTAACGTGTATATAATATATATATATATATATATATATATATATATATTAAATAGTATAAAAATAAATAGCATACATTTTAACACACATAATTAAATTTCTATCTAATTTTTCTTTTAATTTTAGTGAGTTAGAATGAATGTTAATTCATCTAAATTTTTATTATTTTCTATTATTCTATTTTTCATAATCACAAACTTAAAAGATTAAGTTATTGTACCCACATTTATTTTTTGGGATTGTACTAAAAATTTACAGTACTTACACTCTTATCCTTCCATATTGTTTCGAATTATTTANTTGTACCCACATTTATTTTTTGGGATTGTACTAAAAATTTACAGTACTTACACTCTTCTCCTTCCATATTGTTTCGAATTATTTATAGTCAATTAAAAAAATTAAAATAATAAAAATATTTTACATATGTTATTTATAATTTCCAAAAAATAATAAATGTGGTACAAAAAAAATGTATAAATATGTTACCCAAATATGTATAAAACTTGAGCTCAACGCCTCACTTTCAAACAAGAAAATCATATGTTCAAGGGCTATAAAAATCACCCCGAAGTTGGAGGTTCAAATATTGGGGTTTGGTAGTTGATTGTCATACTAGCCTAACTAAGTTCGTTTCTGATAAAAATAACAGACGTGGTTAAAGATCTCATAATTCTATCAATAAGATTCAACGTGNGCTCAACGCCTCACTTTCAAACAAGAAAATCATATGTTCAAGGGCTATAAAAATCACCCCGAAGTTGGAGGTTCAAATATTGGGGTTTGGTAGTTGATTGTCATACTAGCCTAACTAAGTTCGTTTCTGATAAAAATAACAGACGTGATTAAAGATCTCATAATTCTATCAATAAGATTCAACGTGGTTTATAAGCGCTCTCCTTGCCTCCACCCCTTTTTCCTCAAGCAAAAAAAAAAAAGTCCATAAAAACCATGTAAGCTAGAAGCAAAGATAATGTGTGTGTGTGTGTGTGTGTGTGTTTATTAATATATGTGTGTGTGTTATGATTTTCTTGTTGTATTTTATTGTAATTGTGNGCTCTCCTTGCCTCCACCCCTTTTTCCTCAAGCAAAAAAAAAAAAGTCTATAAAAACCATGTAAACTAGAAGCAAAGATAATATATATGTGTGTGTGTGTGTGTGTTTATTAATATATATGTGTGTGTTATGATTTTCTTGTTGTATTTTATTGTAATTGTTTATACATTATCGAATTTAATGTATTTTTTTAGTGTTATTAATTTATTGTGTTGGTTAATTGACACAAGTTACTAAATTGAATTGTTAAAAAATTTAAAAAAATTAATAATTAAAAGATATGTGTTCACCCTATTTATTGTCTGAATTTCTACCCATTTATTTTGGGTGAAATTTGAATACAAATAGTACACTTAGATAGTGTTTGGTAACCATTTGTTTGTGTTTTTTTCAGTTTTTGTTTTCATTTTTTTGTTAAAAAAAATACTAACGCGTTTGGAGAGTGTTTTTATTTATTTTTTTTGTTGGTCTATTTTGTTAACAACCCTAAATTTAAAAAACATCAAAATAGGTGTTTTTGAAAACACAAAAAAAAAAAAGGAAAACACGCACGTCCCTTTAACCCATTTAATGAGGTATAGCCTTCGAACTCCATTAGCAGCAAAAAGAAGGATTTTTTTCATTCTCACTATAAAAAAATATTTCTTACCTCTTTTTCCTCTTCCCTTGTTCATCTCTTTGACTCTCGTTTATCTCTCTCACAAGGCAACGACAAAGAGCTACGAATGAGCGACAAAAGAGCCAACACTCTCTCTATCACCCTTCTCTAATGGGTTTTGTTGGGGAGTTACATGATTGAGTTTTGTGGGTGGTGGTGGTGGATTAGGGGGTGGGTTTTAGTAGTTGTGGGAGTGGGTTTCAGTTTGGTTTCAGTGGTGGATTGGGGGTGGATTTTGGTGGGTTTCAGCGGTGGGGGTGAGTTATGGGTTTCAGTGGTGGTGGGGGTGGGTTGNTGGTGGGTTTCAGCGGTGGGGGTGGGTTATGGGTTTCAGTGGTGGTGGGGGTGGGTTGTGGATTTTTGGTGGTGGTGGTGGTGGTGGTGGGGGTGGGTTTTGTTGGGTTTCAGACTTTCGATGGTGGGAGTGGTTAGTGGGGTTGGATGGTGGGTTTCCATTGCGGGGTTAGGTTGTGGTTTTGGGTGGTTAGTGGTGTTGGTTGGTGGGATTTGAGTAATGAATCTTTGGTATAATATCAAATAAGTTTTTTATTTTTGATTTTATAATTTTTAAAATATAAATAACTATCAAACATATTTTATATTTTTAATTTTTATCAAAAAATAAAATAAAAATAACAACGTTACCAAACGTACAATTAATTAAAAAGATTTGATCAAAAAAATTTATTCTGTAAAATATTAAAAAAATATAAAAACATAAAATATCATAAGTTTTATTGGTAAGATAAGGTGAATGCCCTCAATTACATGTAAATCTGTTGTACTTCTTATACTATATTTTAAGTCTAAAGTAGGAAAGCGGCATATGCAAATTTGGCACGTTGCCTGTGACAAGTTGGTAACGCAGCTTTTGTGTCAAACAAATGCCTTGGAGACGGAGAGTGTGGCTTCATGCATGAGTTTTTTAATTACATAACGCAAGGCTAGAAAACGGGCTACGTGTTCGATTGTGGGTAGAGAGAAGTCCAGGATTAAAGAATAATTATTGAGTGGTGGAAGGCAACATAGCGTGGCTATTTGTATACTCGACACGTGTTATGTTGGTCCCCAAAAATCTTAGCACTTCACTCAAACACGTCTCTTTAATGGCTCGGCACGGCTTGGCTCAGACAATTTCTGACCTAATACTAATACTTTTATTTGAATTATATATATATACTAGTTATAATCCGTGCTTGAAGACACGATAAAATATAAAATTTAAGCGTCCAAAAAATCGATTTCACTATATTAATTTTTTTTAAAATATATTAACTATAAATTAATTAAATATTAAATAATTAAATATATGATAAAAATAAGTGATGTGATATTTTTTTTAAAAAATAAATAAATATGTGATAAAAATGAGTGATGTGATTTGACGTTTGAGTCTAACAAAGGAATGATGGGTGAAGTAAGTGATTGGTAATGGTTTTAAGCGAAAAAATATGACTGAGATAAAATTCAAATACACTCCTATTTTATTATATAGATAGTCATAACCCGTGCCTGGAGGCACGAAAAAATATAAAATTCGAGTGTCCAAAAAATTGATTCCACTATATTAAATTTTTTTAAAATATATTAACTACAAATTAATTAAATATTAAATATATGATAAAAATGAATGGTGTGATATTTTTAGGGAAAAAATATAAAAATG